TTTTTGGTTTAATAGTTATTAAGCATACACTATGTTCTAGGTACTGTTTTTAATTTTTCCATAGATTACCTAATTTAATTCTCACAACCATCTTATGAAGTAGATACTATTATTATTCACATTTTGCAGAAGTGGAAACCAAGCCCCAGAACATGTTAGATCATTTGCCTAAGGTCATACAACTGGTAAGCTGTAGAATCAGAATGAGTCAGAGCCTGTACTCTCACTCTTAGTAGCTCCCAGTAGTTCATCATCGTCATTTCTAAATAAATGTAATAAAGGTCATGTCTTAGTTATCTAGTGCTGCTGTAACAGAAATATCAGAAGTGGGTGGCTTTAACAAACAGAAATTGGTTTTCTCACAGTTTAGGAGGCTAGAAGTCTGAATTCAGGGCACCAGCTTCAGGGGTAGGCTTTTTCTCTGTCAGATCTGGGAGAAGGTCTTTGTCTGTCCTGAACTTCTGCTCCTGGGCCACCTTCATGTGACTTGGCATGTCTGTTCCTCTGTCTTTGCTTCCTAGATTGCTTGCTTATTCTCTTTTATAGCTCAAAGGAGATTAACACAAAACTCATCCTACACTAATCCTGCCTCATTACCATAATAAAGACAACCCATTCCCAAATGGGATTATAACCACAGGCATGGAGATTAGGATTCACAACATGTATTTTTGGGAGATGCAATTCAATCCATCTCCACTGCCATGGAGTCAATTCTAACTCATAGTGACATTTTGTTGTTCTTGTTATGTACCGTCGAATCAGACCCGACTCATAGTGATCCCTTCTTGGGTTTCCGAGGCAGTATTACTATGGAAGTAGATTGCCCAATCTTCCTTCCAAGGAGTGGCTGGTGAGTTTGAACCACCAGCCTTCTGGTTAGCAGTCAAGTGCCTTAGGCACTATGGTACCAGAGGAGTCAAATGCCTTAGGCACTATGCCACCAGAGCTCCCAGTGACATTTTAAGACAGAGCAAAACTGTCTAGGGTTTCTAGGGCTGTAAATCTTCACCAAAGCAGACTGCCTCATATTTTCCCATGTCTATGCTTTAACCACTACCAGAGCTCCTCATTCAATCCATAAAAAGTGATAATATGTGTTATATGTGTATGTACATGAAGTGTGCTTTCAAAAATGTTTGGCAATCACAGCTGTAATAAAGTGGTGTTCTGGTAATGTAGTGGTTACAGCATTCAGCTGTTAACCAAAATGTTGGCAGTTTGAAACTACCAGCCACTCCATGGGAGAAAGATGAGGCAGCCTACTTCCATAAAGAACTACAACCTTGCAAACCCTATGGGGCAGTTCTACTCTGTCTTATAGAATCACTATGAGTTGGAATTGACTCGATGGTGGTTGGTTTATTATAATAAAATAAGCCAGTGTTTCTCAATGGGGTGTTATTTTGCTTAGGAAACACTTAGCAATGTCTGGAGACATTTTTTTGCTGTCACACTAGGGAGGGGTTGCTGCTGGCATCTAGTGGGAAAAGGCCAGGGATGCTACTAAACATTGTGCTACAATTCACACAACAGTCCTCCACATCAAAGAATGATCCAGGTCCAAATGTCAGCAGTGCTGAGGTTGAGAAACCCAGAAACAAACTAGTAATACCTAGAGGGGCAACATCTTTGTAAGTATGCAAACATTAACGACTTCACCTGGAAGCAGCATACTGTCACCCAAAGAAACGAGCTAAGACAAGAATCTATACCTAATTCCCTTCCAGTGACTCAGCTGGTCACACTCAGACCTTGGCTCTTCAGCCTTGGATGAATGTGCCCTGGTTGTGAAAGTGGATTTCTCGCTTGGGTTTTGGCATATTGTTTATCCTGGATTCTCCAAGTCTGGTAGCAAATGTAGATTCAGGGTCACATGACCATGAGAACTGCTGCATTAGAAAAAAAGCAGTTTCAAGATCCCATTTTTGCTATTTAAATCAAAGCAAAACCCTTGATAAAAGTGAATCCAGGAAAACAAAATTGTATAACAAATTGGTTTTACAGTTTTGTTATTTTGAAAAAGCCAGACACATTTTTTAAAAAGTAAATTTATTTGCATTGAAAATATAATTATTTTTCTTTGCAAAACTTGTCACTCAGGATTCTCAAACCAGAATAGTTAACTTTCTTAACTTCCTCCATCTTATTTAATTTTTAAATAAATTTATTAGCCACTTTTACGAAAATCACCTGTTGTTTAAACTGAGGGGTCCTAGAGTGTTAGCACAAAAGCAAAATGTAACTGTGTCTGCATGTGCATGCATACATGCACACACGCATACACACAAGGAATAGCTTTAGCCTTGGTTTGATGTATCATTATGTTACAAAAATATGAGTGCATTTTAATCTATGATGTTTTAGTTCTTAATGATTTTCATAAAGTATTGGGAGTATATTAGGATGAGATGAAACTGTCAAGTGAAGATCAGAGAGGAAGAACAGAGAGCGAATGCAAATCCTAATCCCACATCAACCAGTACCAGTTGCCACTGAACCAATTCCAATTCATGACGACCCCATGTGATGCAGAGTAGAACTGTGCTCCATAGGTTTCCAAGGTCTTTAAGAAGTAGATCATCTGGCCTAGTCATCTAGGCGCCTCTGGGTGGGTTCGAACTACTAATTTTCAGTTAGTAGTTGTGCGTATTAAGAATTTGTGTCACCTAGCAACTCCTACTCACACGTCAAAGCTCAACTCAAATGCTGCTGCCCTGGAACTTCCCTGTATCCTCCTACCCCACCTCCTTTCTTTGTTTTCATTGTGATATATGCCTCTTCCATGGTACTCATCACACCCTAATCTAGAGATAGAATTATTCATATTTAAACATAATTGTTTCCTCTTCTAGATTGTAAATTGCTTGAGGGAGACCCAATGTGTTCATTTTTTAAAAACAGCTTTTTTAGGATATAATTTGCATACCATACAATTCACCTATTTACAGTATAGTAGTCAATGGTTTTTGGTATATTCAGAGTCATACATCCATCACTACAATGTTAGAACATTTGTATCACCCCCAAAATAATTCCCTAACACATTAGCAGTCATTCCCTATTTCCCTATACCACCTAGCTTTAGGAAACCACTTATTTACTTTCTGTCTCTCTGGATTTGTCTGTTCTAGATATTTCACATCAATGGAATCATATAATATGCATTCCTTTGAGCCAGGCTTCTTTCACTTAGCAAAATATTTTCAAGGTTCTTCCATGTTGCAGCATATATCAGTAGTTCATTCCTTTTTTTAATGAATATACCACATTTTATTTATCCATTCATCAGTTAATAGACACATAGGTTATTTCTACCTTTTGACTCTTATAAATAATGCTGCTAGAAGCTCTGGTAGTATAGTGCCTAAGGCACTTGACTGCTAACCAGAAGGCTGGCAGTTCAAACCCACCAGCCACTCCTCGGAAGGAAGGTTGGGCAATCTACCTCTGTAGTGATACTGCTTCAGAAACCCAAGGAGGGGTCGCTATGAGTCAGGTCTGACTCGACGGCACATAACAACAACAACAACATGAATATTTTGTCTGAACACCAAATTTGTTTTCAATTCTTTTGGGTATATACCCAGATGTGGAATTGCTAGATTATACACTAACTTTATATTTATACATCTGAGAAACTGCCAGACTGTTTAGCTTGTTCATCTTTGTTTACCTTGCCAATCTCTGTCATGATGCTTCGTCTCCAATTTTTGTTGCTGTTGTTAGAGTGGATAGTGAGAGCTTGGTTTGTGACATATATAAATACATCTGTAGGTATTTTTACAGAATGTCTCATTTTTGTGAATTCTTGTCCTCTCCTGTAGGCCAACCACTTTGCCGTGCACCATGATGAGGAGAAAGATGTGATCACAGGCCTGAAACAAAAGACCTTGTATGGTCGTCCCAACTGGGATAATGAGTTCAAGACAATTGCAAGTCAGCACCCAAAGTAAGAGGCTCCCACACTAGAGTGTTCTTGAGGCTCATGGTGGGCCTAACACATCATCTTCCAAACCTAGTTAGATTTGTGTATTCTAGAAATGAAAATACCCAGTTGAATTTACACCCAATAGAATGTTCCAGATATCCCTGAGTTCAGTAAGGAGTAGAATGTTCCAGATATCCCTGAGTTCAATAAAGACTCTTTAAATCACATCACAATTACCTAGAGAGTTATTAAAAACAAAAATTCCCAGGCCCCTACGCCAGACTTAATGAACTCTGTTTCTCCCAAATATGACCACAATTCAATACAATCCCCATTATTAAGGAGGTACTATTTTTAAGTTATAGATTTTGGCTCTAAAATTAGTTGACCAAAGCCCTAGGGCCATTTCTGCCCTCGCTAAAGCTTTACTCAGCATGTAATTTTGAGGGTATCCCCAGCTTGCTAGAGCACATGATAAACAAAAGAAATCACCATAAATATATCCAATTCTTGAACATTAATGAGAATACAAATCACCTGGGATCTTTTTAAAATGTGGATGCTGATTCCATAGGCTTTTAATGGGGCCCAGGAATCTGCATTTCCACAAGCTGACACTCATACTGCTGGTTTGGAACCACACTTCAAGGAGCAAGATCCTAGCCTCTAAAATTTAGAGGGATGAAGCCACACCAAACAGTTGGAAGAATTGGGATACATAAAGCAGATTTGTTACTGATTACAAGTATCCAGAGAAGCAGCCCATAGACTTAGGAATCCACCATTTTCTCTGAGGTACAAATTTCTATAATCTCTACTTGGATGTTATTGTCCAGGGCAATTGATTGCCATGTCAATCAGCTAGCTGCCTCAAAAATATGACTGAGCCACCCTCCTATAGTGTAAATCTTCCACTTGTTGGAGGAACAAAAGAACAGAGGACACTGCCCTGGCACCTAATATCAATAGAAAATTTCCCCATCTTCTATTTCAGTAATGTCTACCTAACCCCAAAATCTGAAACTCTTTATTTTTTTTTTCCCTTGAAAGTACAAGAATAGGAGTTTTCCTCTGTGGACCTGAAGCTTTGGCCCAAACCCTCAGTAAACAGAGCATCTCCAACTCGGAGTCTGGCCCTCGGGGAGTGCATTTCATTTTCAACAAGGAAAACTTCTAAGTCATCTCTTCGATGAGAAAAGAAATGCGAGTTATGCTGTCAAATGCCCAGACAATTAATGTTAGTTCATAAGATAACCCTCTACCCTTTAAAGAAAAGAGAAAAAGAAACTATAATGTGATTTTTCCCCTCAAAACAGTTTCAGAGATTGTTTGATAATGATGACTTACATTTTATAAGGCTTTATGGTTCCCAGATCACTTTTACAAGCATTATTTCATTTTTTTTCTTCCTAGTAATGCCATGATGAAGGTAGTGTGGGAATTCCTGGATTCATTTTAGGATAAAGACATAAAGGCTCAAGATAGTTAAGTAGCTAGCCCAAGATTATGAAGGTGAGACCAGAGCTAGGCCACCTGACTCCTGGTTTGGTAGTCTTTCCATGACACTTCCTCAAAATTGATTTGTATACAACCAAGAGAAAGACACAAATCAGAGAGAAGCTATTAATTTTCCATTTTGTGTCATTTTTGATGTGATTATTGTCATATTGAAGGAAATTTTTCAGATAATTAGGAGCTAGGGAGCTCTGGTAGCATAGTGGCTAAGGCACTTGACTGCTAACCAGACGGCTGGCGGTTCAAACCCACTAGCCACTCCTCGGAAGGAAGGTTGGGCAATCCTACTTCCGTAGTGATACTGCCTCGGAAACCCAA